ACAGGTTTCCCAACACCACCGTACCCCGGTCCCCCTTTGGACTACAACTCTGTTCAGCCTGTTGTCCAGCCTGTGGTTCAGCCAGTTGTCCAACCTGTTGTCCAGCCAGCTGTTCAGATTGGTGAGAGATCAGAAGCTACCAGTCATTTTATTTAAATAGTTCGCCTGTATTGCTCTTTTATGATTTGCCACTTTAGTCGGTGTGGTTGAAGATTTTCTTCAGCTTTTGTTAAGATTGTTTAAAGTTAAATATCTTTTCTTTATGTCCAGTTCAACAGCCTGCATACCAATACAATGCACTACAACCTCAGGTTGTGCAGCCAGGTGAGTGTCTTTCTTCAGTTCAATATGAATTTGCAAAATTAAGCAAAAACTGAGTTAGTTCCAAATCCAGTCTTCATGGTGTTTTAGTGAGGAAGTATTATTGTTATTAAAGTCATCAGAAGAGTGTGCTTTGTTGTTTTTGCAGTGAGTCAGGTGGTGGTGATGCAGAGTCATCTCCCAAAAGATGTTCCTGGACAGATGAAGTGTCCTCATTGCCAAACTGATGTTGTGACTAAAACAGAGTACAAAATTGGGATCCTCACCTGGTTAATTTTTGCCGTATTACTACTTGTAGGGTGAGTTAAAAACCCCAGCACACATGACCAAAATAAAACCTCATACACGCTCCAAAACGTCATACAGGAGTGGTTACTCAGCAACACATAAATATATTATAAATATTCTAGTAGAACTGAGACAGTGAAAAGCAAACAGTTTACATTCAGATGTTTCTACAGAGTGTGATGCACCTCAAATCCATTCAGGTCTACAGAAAGCTTTTAAAATTAAACAAAACAAAACAGAATTTGGTCTACGCTGAAGTTTCATTTTTTAGTAAACTAATTAAATTTAGGACCCAAAATGGAATATGTGTACAAAGAAAATATTCCATTGTATATTAGATAACTCAAGAGCAGTTTATGTCAATTCCTGTTGTTCTTGCTATATAAATATAAATGGTGTAATATATATTTGAAAAGCAAAAAGCAAAAGGATTACCATAATATACGTGTTACTGTTGCTGAAAACACCGACGAAAATTACTTAATATTATCACTACATACATCATAATTACAAACAAAACAACAAATTGTTGGGAATATGGTGACAATGCAAGACAAAGTGAGGATTGTTATTGAAGGCAGTGTTCTTCTCACTGCATGCTCATCAGTTCTGGTAAGCAACTAAAATAACAGATCTGTGAGTTCAAGATGTAGACTTGTTTCTCGTCTCTGCCAAATCTTTACCAAACATTCAGCATAACTCATCATTCACATGAGGAACTTAAGGTTTATGTTAAACCTGTGTAATATGTGATGTGATCATTATTTTGATGCCATTTTGTTGGTTCAAACCAGCTGCTGGCCTTGCTATGTGATCCCCTTCTTCGTCAAAGAATGCAAAGATGTGGAGCATTCCTGCCCTGCCTGTAACAGCGTAATCCACATCCATAAGCTCCTATGAAGCAGAACTACAGTTTACCTTCTACTGGACCAACAGCAGCAAGGCAATATATGTTTTACCTGTATATGTACTTAACATACTGATAAAAACTATACATATCAGCAATAAAAGAGCTTTCTTGTTTTCCAGATGATTACTTGAATCATGTTAAAAAATCTAAGTTAATTATCAGGATAGCTTTTATTTGTTTTTTTAAACTTGTAGTGAGTGGTGTGGTCTTGGTGTGAAATACCTCAGCGATGAAGTGAAATGATACATTTAAATGTATTAAATGAACTCTAGGGGATTTTTTTTTTTTTTTAAATATTCCTACGAGTGAAATTTGTATATTTTTCCACCTAAAGTTATTCTGTTGATTTTCTTTTTGATGATGTATTGAATGTTTTTAATCAAATTCATATTAATTTAATATAAAAAGACAGCAAAACCGATAACAATACAACTGAAGATAACATGTCAATATTGACCAGTGATCATTGTTTGCACCAATATTTTGGTCTTTTAAAAACACTGGACACTTTTCATGCAACATTACCTTTTTAAATAAAAAATAAATGTATTGTCACCCAATAGTTATTACCTAAATCACTCATACAGTTTCTCTTGGCTTAATTCTGTTTACATTTAAGTCTTTTTAATTACAATAATAATTCACTGTTTGTAAGATGGAATCATGATCTACAAATAAATGTTTAATTATCAGTGAAGTGCAACATTTCTTGACTGTATAACTGAAGACTGCAATAGAGTTTAAGTCAATAAATATTCCTTATATAAGAAAACAGGTAAATTTAAGTTTTAACCCAACATTTACTCTTTACTACTTTATTTGCTCTTTCATAAATGAGAAAAACAAAGATAAAAAAATTTGATGGGTAATATTGGTAAAGTAAGGCATTAATGTAAAGATTTTTTATTCAATAGAGGGATGTGTGTGTTTTTATGTGTGAACTGATTGGTGCAATATTAAAATATAATTTATATGCGTGTCTGGTTACATTGATGTGACGGAGTTACACCGTCCCGGGCCGCAAACAGCTGATCTGAGCGCATACACGCACCACCACCATTAGTCTACTATTGTTGCGCTGGGTTACCGTGGCTGCACGTCTTTTAGTCGACCGGGCAGTTAAACAAAAAAAGCGGTGAGAGGTATATTTTGAGCCGCACAGACGGTGGCCAACATATTTTTTTAACTTACCTTTAAGGCCGGTCGCGTAGACACCCCGTGATCGCCGTTTATGCGAGTGGTTATACAAGCCGATGGTGTTCCAGGGTTCAAATTGTGAGTTCGCAGGCGCTTTGAAAGGTCACGTGAACTGCATTTTTGTTTGTGTTTTTTTTGTTATTGTGAAACACTGTAGGCTGCCTGGAAGTGGCCATAAATGTCTATAT